TGTGTAAGTGTGTGTGTGTAAGTGTGTGTGTGTGTAAGTGTGTGTGTAAAAGTGTGTGTGTGTGTAAGTGTGTGTGTGTAAGTGTGTGTGTGTGTGTAAGTGTGTGTGTGTAAGTGTGTGTGTGTGTAAGTGTGTGTGTAAAAGTGTGTGTGTGTGTAAGTGTGTGTGTGTAAGTGTGTGTGTGTGTGTAAGTGTGTGTGTGTAAGTGTGTGTGTGTGTAAGTGTGTGTGTGTAAGTGTGTATTTGTGTGCGTGTGTGTGTGTAAGTGTGTATTTGTGTGCGTGGCGTTGTTAATTGGCGGTTGCTTTCATTTTAGAAATTCATAGTATTCTATTTTCTTTTTTAAAGTCCTGTCACTCCTGATGAATTGTAAGACACACCGTCACACCGTCTTTGTTTCTAAATAGAATGTTGACTGTGTATGTCCGTCGGCACATATCATCAAGTAGTCAATATCTGTCTTTCAGCCACACCCCATGACCGTAGGGAAGATAAAATCTAACACCTAGCCTTCTCGGACAAGGGCTAAAAATCTAGGAAGTCCTGTGTGCACGTTGCGCACGTTGAACATCCCTTGGTGGTCCAAAATCTATAACAGAAGGCTTCGAGCGCCAATTCAGGCAAAATTCAATATTAGTTCCTGCCAAATTAGAAATGTTTAATGTGTTCTGCGCACTCATATGACCTTATGTTTTTTGCGTTGGCTGTAGAACACTTACCAAAACAATATATCAGCGATGGTTACGTTACAGTAGAATAAAGATTGTTTGGTAGGGGTTCTAATCAAAATATAGTTTTTTAAAGGATCATTTTGACTCTGTTATGTTTGACAAGAAAACACAGGGTTAAAAAAGTGTGGTGACGATGATACGTAGACATGTATCATGAGATCCTCTGTCGTGCGCTCCTATGTATCTCTGGTACAGTACTAGGCGACCTGTTTGTTTGTTTGTTTGTTTAGTATAGGGTTTTACGGCGCTTGCAACTGCATAAGGTCACATGAGCGCGCGGGACACACCTAATACATTTTCGTTGGTAGGAAATTTTGAATTTTGCCCGGGTGGCGGCCGAAGCCAACTCTTATCGATTTTAGACCACCAAGGGATCTTTAACGTGCGCTACTTGCACACGGGCCCTCCAAGATTTTTCGCCCTTGTCCGAGAAGGCTAGGTGTAGATCTTTCCTAGCAGAAGATCAGGGGTGTGGCAGAAAGACAGCAGTTAGGAGGAGCCAAGGAGTAGCAGTAGAAAGGCTGCAGAAAGAGTCAGGAGCCCAGAGCAGGGGGCAAAGGAGGTGAGGGGGTGGGGACAGAAAGTGGAAATGAAAGCAGACAACAGAACATTGTTAGGGATCAGGAAAGGATGTGAAAGGAGACAATTTTAGAGAAGAACATTTTTTGGTCGCTACCCGGAATCGAACCCGGGACCTTTGAATGAGAGGCCAACACCTTAACCTCTATGCCACGAGAGCCCCCAGGCGACCTGTTTGGCGTAAGATGAGACACATGAAGTGCTTGTGGGGGCGGGAATAATAGTATGTTGCCCTTTCGCTACCTCAGAATTTAAAAGTTTTATCTGACGTTTTTGCCGTTTGTGAGTTACTAATACCATGAGGTCAGAAATCCTATGTGAAGAGTGCTGACAAAAGGCGTGACGTCTCAGGTTCAAGCCTTAAGGAAATAGATAAATCACGCTTATTGCTGAAGTTTTTACATTTTATAAGTATGAATAATAAAAGTCAGGTTATAATTAAAGAACAAGGCACCAATTGAAAATCTACAAGTTTGATCCTAATGTCGACTTTTGGCCAATATCTCCATTTGTGGATTGCGAGAAGTAACTCATTCTGTTAGCATGCCGCACTAATGTTCTGTCAGCTCGATCAAAATCGCACGATTTTTCAAACAAGTTATCAAGGTGTTCAAAGAATTGCATTTGAAAAAGCTTGACATGATGTGAAACTCGAAGTCGAAGTCTTTGACGTCAAGTTTCTCAAAACTAGTCAGTGAACAGGTAGACCTTTCTAATTCTCCGGTAGCGATTTATCCATTTAGGTGTAACATCGACGCCCATGGGGGCTGCATTCAGCACAGCGAAGTTCTATAGAGGGGAAAGAGCGGTGACTTTGACAGTGTGTGGTTTAGAAGTAATAAGAAATAGCATTTGGACCACGACGCAGTGGAAGCAGGCGCTTGGCAGTTTTTGGACACGTGGAGTTATTGATAAAATCATAAAGGTTGTTCATTTATCTTGCCTTTGATGGATTAAAACCACACATCTATCATGAATAGAAGTCGAGATATTTGCGATTGAAAGCGGTGGGGGCCGTCTGGTTTCAAGAGT